TGACCTTTGATATGTTGCAGCAATCTACAGTAAAATTATTTGCTGCAGCAATCCATTAGGCACAAGTTCACATTTCAAAGCCACTAGCAGGATAAAAGACACATCTGTCCAGTTAAAGCAGTGTCAGAAGGACAACCAAGAGGGGTAGAGATAGGTGGTAACGCTGTCCCAGACTTAGAAATGAGTCTAGGACTTTCAGAAAGCCATAGCAATTTTTCTTATTAAGTTGCTCTCACAGTGTCATGCCCTCCTCCATGCAACCACCACCACATGGAGAGTCCATTTCTTCATGTCCAGAAACCTAAGCCAACAGCTGATCTTCTAACCCCACTCTCCAGACTGCATTTAAGAATAAGACCCAAAACAACAGAACTTGCTGCTAAAAGATATCAATGAGGATGAGAGCTTAGTAGGATACAAAAAAAAAAAGGGTTAGACATTTACAATACCGACAACATCAAGCATTCAAATGTCATGACTCAAGTGTCCCCCATCCCTCTTCCTCCATCTTAAGATTTGGCTAGAAATCATGAGGTTTTAAAAAAATAATATATTTTTGAGTTCTTTTTATTTGCCTTCTAGTGTTTGAGCCATTAAGGGTTGCATTTTAAAGCTTTAATCTACAGCAGGAGGGGGTTTCAGAACACACACCAACTATCAAAAAATCCGGCATAAGAACTGTGAAAGTCACAGTCCATTTTGGTCAATTTCACAGTGTTGTAACTATAGGGATTCTGACCCAAAAAGGAGTTGTGGTGGTGGGGTGATCGCAAAGTTACTGTAGGGGAAGTTGCGGTACTGCTACCCTTACTTCTATGCTGCTGCTGGTGTCAGCGCTGCTTTCAGAGCTGGGCAGCTGGAGAGCGGCAGCTGTTGGCCAGGAGCCTAGCTCTGAAGGCAGAGCTGCCACCAGCAGCAGCGCAGAAGGATGGCATGGTATGGTATTGCCACTCTTACTTCTGTGCTGCTGCCTGCAGAGCTGGGCCCTCAGTCAGCAGCCACCACTCTCTGGCCACCCAGATCTGAAATCAGCATCACAGAAGTAAGAGTGTCATGGTATGGTATTGCAACCCTTACTTCTGCACTGCTGCTGGGGGCTGGAGGGGCGCTGCCTTCAGAGCTGGGCACCTGGCCAACATCTGCCACATTCCAGCCACCCAGCTCTGAAGGCAGCGCAGAAGTAAGGGTGGCAAGCTTGTGTAGGAGGAACTCTGAGTTGGC